GCTCAGCGGCGGGGTCCCGAGTGCCGCCGGCAAGGCCTGCGCCCGGCACCGCTCCCGCAGCAGACAGGGCCCTGCCCAACGCACGACGTAAAACGTCCAAAGCACTGCTCCCGGTTAGGAGAAGCAGCTTGCTGGCGGCGGGGGAATACCTGCTATTAAACCACAGCTCCAAGGGCTGAACTTCAGCTGAAATAGAGAGAGAGCCGCGCTGCAGCCCTGGTGGCGTTCAGGAGATGCGGGTTTAATGCGTGTGGGCATCTCACAGGCCGCGCGCACTACGCCTTACTGTGCTCATGGTAATTATCCCTTTTTCTTTTTAAGCAGCACATAAAATAGGCACATAAAGCTTGTGTAAATGTCACGCAGGAAAGTTAGGACTCTCTGCAGCAACTGTCCTATCTGCTCCTGGTTTTGGAAAAGCCTCAGCTCCTCCTTGCCATGGGTACCTATGCCGCCTGCTATGCCTTGCTTGCTCAGGTGCGTCACCTGCTCCAGCTCCATGGAAAATGAAAAAAAAAGAGAAAGAGCAGGTGATTGGCAATGACAGGTCTCAATAAAGTTTATAACTAGAGCTGGAAGGTGCTACATGGCCACAAAGTAAAAGTGGTAAACTGTATTAAAGAATCAACCCTTTCTATCTACTGAGTAGTTGAAATAAAGTCACCGTTTACCACTTGATTTGTTATTCTTTTTCTAATCTGGCAGCTAGGCTTTTATTTAGTTACTTTGGAAGTGCCTTTATCTAGGCCCTTCAGATAGGCCCACTAACACAAAGGTTACCCCTAAGTAATCGGTATTGCCCAGCCAGTGCTGGAGACCCAAGCAGTAAGTGGGGTTGCTGCGGGGTGTGGGGGCTATTCTGTGCAACAGGGGCTGTGCATGCTCTGGGGGTGAGCGGGTAAGCTCCCACTACCCACCCCAACAAAGAGCACCAGGAACCTACTACAGAATTAGGTTATTTTTTTCCTTTAGCAGCTACAGAGCCAGAGCAAGGACAGCAACAAATAAGGGGGCAGAAGCTTAAGGGCTGACGTTTTAGGAGTAAAGAGTTTGGACACACAGATTCTTCCTATATCCTGACTCCTCCCCACCATTTTTGGGTAGTTTCTGTATTAACTATTTGTTACTGGTTACAACAGCAAAGTGCAAAGCAGTTCCAATCCTGTAGCTCTGGCTGAATACACTTGAGGCAACGCCACAATTTATCAATGGCTGTATGCCTTTTGGTGTAAGGGGAACATAACTGTGTCTTATCGGGACAGAGGTGGCCACCACAGGCCTGGAGCTGGTGAAGAACAGCCTTGCCACACGGAGGGATCATACACAGTAACAACGAGCTGGCCAAGTCTTGAATGAGTGCCTGGATGAAGGGGACAAAAAGAAGTGACTCTAGAGCACAGCAGGCTAACCTCAACCTTCCCTTTTTTATAGGCCAAAGAACAATATCCCTTCCCCTCTCCCACCCACCTTCCTCCTTCATCAATGTCCTCTAGATGCGATTCTTCAAAACAGCTTCTGACAGAAGAAGAGGAAAGGTCACAGCAGTTAACATCCTCCTCAGTATGATCCTGTTTGAAGCAATGCACTTTTGGAAATTCCAAGATTAATTACTTCAACTTCAAATTTGCTAGTTTAAACTCCTGTGCCATGCCAAAAAATGTATCTACAGTAGCCAGTCTGCAATGGGCTTTTTGGCTATGCTTGGCTCAGTGAAGACCTGAAGGTTTGTACTCAGAAAAAACCATTTAAAACATGTTTAAAGCACACTGAAAATAGTAACTCTTCTATTGAGTTATTGCTACAACCAATAATAAGAAGTGGATTTGCCATTAGAAGCCTGAAGACCTCCAAGGTCTTGATAAAGAAATGCTGAGATCCCAGAGGGTTCCTCAGAAGGTCAGCATGACAGAAACAACAGGAGACAAAGGGAGGGAGGACAGCTTGTCTTGACACAGTGGCAAAGCAAGGTCTCGAGAAAAAAATCCAAGCCTGCCTACATCGTTCCTTGCTGCAGGTTGTATACTTGCCTATTTGAAATTAAATTACATTTAGCTAAAATCTGTATGAATCCATTACAGTGTTCACTTCCACAGATGCCTGCAGCACTGGTGAAGGCAGGTGGGCCTACATGCCAGAAGCTTGTACCTACCAGGCTCCAGGGACATCAGTTTCCCTTCTACAACCTGCCAAAAACCTCACTTTGACGATGTGTCCTCAGATTGACTCATGACCACAGGTACCTAAAATGTTATAGAGTAGACTGTCTTCCTAGGTATCCTTTATAGACAGCATTATGTTTTGGAAAGAGGAGGAAGGAAAGAGAACCGCATCTCTCCCCAGTGTTAACAAGGAGATTTTTCCAAAGTTGCACATATTTCAGGTTAGTGCCATAAAACCAAGATGTGCCCTTCTTGCAACTATACTGAAACCCATAAACTGTAAGGATTACTTTGAAAAGTATGTTTATCCCATATAACATGCCTGTAGACATGCTAGAGTCCACCCATGACCGTTCCTGACCACCCGGGATGTCCAATTTTGCAACCATAAGGCTTGGGCAGAATTTGACCCCCTCTCCCTGTCAATTACAGTAAAAAGAAAAATAGAAAATACATTCAAGGTATAGCAGTGGTGCTAAAAATACATACCAGTATGTCCAGGCAGGCTGCTTTAAGTAGAGTTATCTGGTCTGCAATGGTCAAACTTGTAAAGCCTGGCAATCGCTTCGCAAATTCCACTATTTTAATAATGCACTTTGTTGCAAGTTCGCTGAATTTGTCCCAAAGCCCGAGGTCCAGTCGAACCCGATGATCTGCGCTGGAGTTCTGGAAAGACAGAAGGCACCATAAATCAACAAGGTCCCTTTCAGTAAATGCTTTTCAAGGGAAAGAAACAACAACCAAGTATTCCTTCCAGAAGTACTTTCTATTAACATTCCAGGCATTTTCTGCAGCTTGCTGTTGGGATGATGCTGGTTTTAAACTTGGATTAATCATCTGAAAATTCCTTGGATATTTCTCCATTACTTATGATTGCAGAGGCCATCTGTACAAGGAATACAAATGAACTTAAACATTTCCAAATGTCACTATCATTATTCTTCCTTGCCGTTATATAATAAGTGCATTGAGAGAGACAATTTACAGTTGTACCCCAGAAAATATAAATGAACAAGTGGAACAAGAATATCGGGTCCTCGCCTGGAAAAAGGAGCACAATATTTGGAACATAGTTTCACATACTTAAGGTCTTAGCAAATTAGTTCTACTTAATTTATCTGCTCTGTGGCTCTGCAAGAGTTTTACAGCTTTCTCAAGCTACAGACTCCCATGAATTAAAGAGCATTTCTTTACACAACATTAGGAAAAACACCATGTGTGCTGATGAATGTTCTATGCTCATTTGATGGTGCATCCAACTTATACCCCACTGTTTGAAGTGTTATGAGGACATTCCAGTTGCATCTTCCAGAGACTGTTTCCATATATTCATGTATCATAATCCAAAAGTCCGTGATTTGCTAGGATGCGCAGAAAACCTGTTAAGTTTGTGATTAAACTCAGGTTTTCATACATTTGGAATAACCACTTAATACCTGAAAAAGTTAAAACTAGTCAGACAAGAACCCCATGACTCAGATGTGACTGTGATCTATTTGACACTAGCCCAACAAAAGGTGGTGCCACAGGGAGACCTGGTCAATCACTTCTGGCCCATCCTGTGGGGTGATGAGAATCGGGTAATGACAGAGCTCTGAAATACCCAAGGACCCCAGCATGCAGCATATTCCCATTTTGCCAGCATTCAATCCATTGCTGTTTGGGATGGAGCCAGTGGGACAGCCCCCCCATTATTTAATCAGCCACCAAGTTTAGTGAGCGTTGCAGCTGCCTTCAGCGTCTGGGTGATCTCCTCTTCATTGCAAAAGGAATTTTACCTGTAAAAATATGCTGGTAATGACTCTGCAAAAGGTGCCAAGCTGCAACCACAGAAAAATAAAGGCAGAATTCTCTCTTCTGCATCTCATCTTGAGCTTCTTGACTAACTGAGGAAGAGAGAGGCCTCTCCAAAAAAAGGCCCATCCACACCAGATAGGTAAGTAAGGCAGGTAAGGGGAATTCCCCTCAGATGGAGCCTTTCTCCCGAGCTGCAAGGGAAGTCGAAGTGATTCGCTGTCTTAGATTTAGTCAGTCAAAGTTCAAATGTGAAATCAACTTTATAATTAAAGTTAAATAAGAGGAATCTCAACCTAGAAGTCTAACAGACATGGCAGATAAACAGCCATCAAAAAGCCTTCCATTTACACAGACAGCACTTTCTTGGAGGAACCATCTCTAGTGACCCTGCCACCAACGCCGCTGATGGTGAGGACGTCCACCTCCCTGGAAACCTCTGAAGCCATCAGCTTCCTTCTCCTAACTGGGCCTGAAGAGGTCGACAAGGGGACATGGGGCGAGTTCAGCTTAGCTGTGATGCTCCATCACCCCTCTCCCAGGGCTGCCTTCACAAGCAACACAACCTTTGTGAATCACAGAAGGGAAAAGTCCTGATGGTGCCAGGAGAGCTGCCAAACTGACATTCACCCTCAGCTGCAGCAGGGTGGAGCCTTGAGCTGGTAATATTTACATTAGGCCATTATTACAAAAAAATGAATGCTGACTATGCTGAACAGTTTGAAGGTGCATACCTGCTCTCCCTCTTTTTAAGGGATAAGAAATCAACTTCAGAATTTCTATTTGAATTTTTATTCTGGGAGCTTCTTCAATTTTATTTTGCTTTTTTATATGACGGAAGAAAAGATAGGAGAAAATGTCTTTATAATCCTAAGCCTAAAGAACTGCCTTCAAAATGGTCCAAAACTAATGGGTTAACAGTCATTGTAATGCCCTTTGAAACATTTCTTTTGGCTACAGGAGTATGCATCCCTCAGATTTATTTTATTTCATCCTCAAGGACCTTGGTGAAATACAGTACATTGGAGGAAAAATAAGATCAAGATGTGCAGTCATTCAGGCTGTAATTAAATTTAATAGGCAGTTTATCCAGTTCATAGAAAGATGGCATAGCAGAGAGCTACACAAAGCAGAGCCTAAAGCAGGAAATCATTTTACAATAGGGTATCCATCTGGAAAAAAAAGACGTTGCATGAAACCAGCAAGTGTGAACGAAATCTTCATCAGTATCATATGAGGTTACTTTATCATGCTGCAGTACTGGCAACGGGAAGTTTGACATCTCTTCTATTAAGAGTAATGCACGGCCATCTTAACAAATGTAAATCTAACTCACTATTATGCAAACTGAAGAGAAGGGGCAGTTAATAAAATACAAAATAAACGGATGTTTTATTACACCGGGTGCCACATTCCTCTGTGTTGGAGCTAATGTGGTTTACACATTATCTTTGAGGTGCCACAAATGGAAAGAGTTTTTACGTTTTATTTGGTAATGAATGTAGTCACAAGCATCATGGAAAACAGCCAGATTTTTAGCAGCATTTCTGAACGCGTAAACCCCAAACTGACTCAATATCAATGTATAGGTTGAACAATAAAACACAGGGTTAATAAAATGCACGTTAGAAACAGAAACTCTGATTAAATTTGTCTGGGGATCTCCTCTAACCATGCTGTGAAAAAGATGCACATGCTATGACTTTTCCTGAATATTTTACTGAAGCATTTGTCTGGGTGTCTTTTCCAGGAGCAGTCTTGCATGTTTTTCAGGCCTATGCACCAGCGCACATATGGTGGAACAATACTGTAATACACCCTAGTGGCATCTTTATCAGTGGAAAAGCCCAACCTTGCTATGAAATCCAATTAAACAGCCATTTTTGCCACATAAATTGATCCCATTTTTTCCATCATTTTTGTTTTTTTGTTGCAGACTGCTCTATCTCCACATTAACGATACGGGATGAGGTACTCACAGAAACATACACAGAAGCAGAATCCCTACTGTCTTTAAAATCCACTTTGCAAAGGAAACAAGGCTCACAGGGGCACTCTGCCCTAATCAGGAACACTTGCTACACCTCTTTAGCAAAAGTAGCAACGCACTCCAGTGCCGGCGAGTTCACCAAGGACCACAGCACACGTCTCTGCTCAGTCCCAGAACCAGGAGACTTATCCATCTCTCTCTATATAGATATATTTCTCTGCAATGGCAGAACAATAGCTGTGTAACTTCTATGCCCAGCACTTAGAATCAAAGACAAAATGCCACCAAGATGCAAAATGTCTTCGCTTCCAGCCAGCCAAGGGCAAGCTGGGAGAACCCGCAGCAAGGGTCCACAGAGTTAGAATTATTTTCTGTTTTATCCTCCCTTTATCACGAGGCTGGATGTAACACAGCTGTAGACTTACAAATAATACCAGTCTCAAGGGACAAGCAGTACAGTTACACTCAATTATACTATAAAGTATGACATCTCCAGAGAAATTACTAAGGCACTCTCTCTTACCTGGATGACAGTAATAAAACAGATCTATTTATGATGGACTTTTCAAATCCATTACGTTTAAACAGCTTGCTGATTCTCATCATCAGCAGAACTATACTTGCCACTGCCCACCAAATGCAACTGTTAAGTCAAATGACCCAGGGAATTTAACGTGAGTGTTATTCTCCCATTATTTTAAGTAGACTTTTATTAATTATGCCAAGTATGGTAATTATTACAGATAGGGACACTTTCTCTTTTTAAAGAACAGATGGATATGAAAAGACATAATTGAAAATGCTTCTCCAAAACCATTTTTGAATGGGTGAAAATACAAAATGGGGGAAAAAAATCACCACGTAACCTTTCCCTCTGGGAAATGCGGGCTGCAGTGCTTGAGAGTGAGAGGAGCCAGATACGCAAGCTGAATGGCTGAACAGATTTTTTTTTATGATTGTATCTCTGCAAGGTCTTTTTCACTCCAATCACTTATACTTAAAATTCTTTGCTCTTTTTAGCAACAAACAATGTTTTAAGTCAGTCTTAACGATCATGTAACCAAAGGCGCACAGAGGCAGCACTTGCAGGACAGTTTCTTCCTTCCACTAGTTCTATCAGTACACAAGGGCAAAGCTCATGAAATTCAAGTGAATCCAATTCAGTATGCTCAATTCTCACCTGTCACTTAAAGAATGAAATAAAAAACTCTAAGGTTACAAAAGCAATCTGTATCCTCCACACTGAGAGCATGACACGTTTTGTGACTGCTAGCCTACAGAACCATCACAAAAGCAGGACTGGTGGGCAATCTTCTACCTGTACTAGCTTGTTATGATCAAGAAAACAGAGTGGCCTAGGCTTCTAGCTCCCCTTGGACTCAGCATTTTAAAAAAGGGCTACATGCTCCTTTTTTTTGACTTAAGAGTCTCTATTTCAACTGCCTGACAAGGAGAGATTACTGCCTGAGCCCTGCCGCTTGACCAGCAGCTGGTGGTGTTGTCCAAGCACCAAAGCTGTGCTTCTCCAAGCAGCACACACTTTACACCTCCTGCTGCCTCCACCACTGCAGAAAGGCTTCTCCCCAACTCCTGGGCTGATGGGCAGCCAGAAACGCACATGACCTTTATTCCAGCCCCAGCAGCACTCTGTCCCTTCCACAGCAGGGCAAAGACAGTGTTTATAAAAATGAACCATTAACACTGAATTCCTACCTAAAAAGCTGGAGCAGTCACCAGACCGTAGCTAGGTGAGAGATGTAAATCCTCTGCACTTCACACAGAGACTATGAGAATGCAGCAAAAAGACAGTATCTAGCAATGCTACTATTTTTTTTTCTGACGTAGCTGTTGAAGGAAGCTGTATTACCCTCAAAGATTCAAGGTAAGCCAAAAATAACTCTTTCAGCAGAATTTTGTTATTGCAACTTGCATATTAGCAAACCATGACAAAGTGACAGGAACTTCAGCCACATGCAACTAACTGCTGTGGGCTTCCAACAGATCAACAATCAAACCAAGAAACCTTTTTCCCCAAGCTATCTGATCTGACCTGAGGTATAAGCAAGCAATAACCAGCCTCAGAGAGAATGTGGTCAGGTCACAGTTACTCGGGACACAGACAGACCAGATTCATCAAGGGCTGCCCTGACCCCAAACTGCAGCAGCCAGAAAATCACCGTGGGGGTCA